ATAGCCACTAGAAGGAACTCAGACCTGCTGTACCTTGATTTTAGCCCAATGATTTTGGATTTATGACGTCCATAATTGCAAAAGAACACATTTGTGTTGTTTTAAGCCACTGAGTTTGTGATAATTGCTCATGGCCATAATAGAAAACTACTAAATTGAGTAACAGGAGAGATTAAAAAGAAGACATGTCTAGAGATAAAGTAGAAACTAAAAAAAAAAAAAGTTCAGAAAAAGTTAAGTAAAACTTATGCCAATAATTTTTAAAACTTTTAAAGTAGAAACAATTTGAACGAAAAATATACACTACCAAAAGTAACTCAAGAAGAAATTTTTTAAAAGTAGATTTATAACCATTAAAATTACTTGATAATTGGAAATGAAAATCCCTAAAGAGTTAGTAATAGAAAGGAATTTTTTAACCTGCATGTGTACCCACTACAAAATTAAAAACAAGACACATGCTGAGATGTATTTGTAAATAATATAACCAATAAGATTTTAGAAATTAAGGTTAGATGGGGAACTCTTACAAATAAATAAGAAAACATCCAAAATAAGAAGAGACAAGGATATAAAAGGCAATTCAAAAAGAAAAAATAGGAATAGCCACTGAATATATAAAACGTCAACATCCGGCCAGGCACAGTGGCTCACACGTGTAATCTCAGCACTTTAGGAGGCGGAGGTGGGCCGATCACGAGGTCAAGAGATCGAGACCATCCTGGCCAACATGGTGAAATCCCGTCTATCCACTAAAAAATTACAAAAGTTAGCTGGGTGTGGTAGCGCGTGTCTGCAGTCCCAGCTACTCAGGAGGCTGAGAATTGCTGGAAACTGGAAAACGGAAGTTGCAGTGAGCAGGTATCATTCCACTGCACTCCAGCCTGGGGATAGAGTGAGACTTCATCTCAAATAGTCATAATAATAATAATAAACACAAGCACATATATGTTCATCACAGCACCATTCGCAATAGCAAAGNAAAAAAAAAAAAAAAAAAAAAAAAAAAATCAACATCCACAGAATTCAAGGAAATCAAATTAAAAGAAAATATTATTTCATTTCTATTAGATCAACAAAATCTAAAATGTCTGATAACATTAAGTATTGGTAGGAAGATATGGAGATAAAGCTATTGCACTTTTCCAGAAGGAGAAAAACACCACACAGAGAACTTAGGAGAACCATTTGCCTAAACCAGGTACAAATATACACATATTTAAAAATCCAGCAATATGAATTTCTGATATTCAAGAGAGTCAATATGTAAACTAGGAGGCATTTACAAGGATGCTTACTGCAACACTCTTTAAAAATAAGTATAATCAATCGTGGAATGAAAAAATAGTGGTTTATTCGTACAATGAAAGTATTAGCTGTTACAAGAAAATAAGTGGTCCTATACATATTTTCTTAGATGAATCTGACAAATAAAATGTTGACATAAAAGCAGAATGACACATACTGCATGGCACTATCAATAAGAAATCTCAAAATACAAACATAATGCAGCATATTGTTTTGTAATACATACCTGCAAAGGTTAAATTCTAAAAGACCCGCAAGAAATCTTCCCAAGAGTGGTTACTATCTTTGAAAAAGTAACAGGAATAGGGGTATTGTTCCAGCTTTGTCTGAAATGTTTGAGAGAGAGAGAGAATATTTTTAGAAAACTTAGCAAAATTAAGCATCTGTTTATCAGTTTATTCTCATTGCTGGATACAAAGGTGTCTGCTATATAATTTTCTGTACTTTTTCACATGATAATTATTTAATACATTTAAAAATATTTTTAAATGGATAGCAACAACCACAGTTTTTACTGTCTTCACCAGTCCACAGAATGGAGAATAGCACCTTTATTGCTTATGACTTTGCCAGATATATTTCTGGTAGGCCACATAAATGCCAATAAAAATCCAATTGGAAAAAACCTCTAATTTATGAATAAAAGGGTGTTCAACCTGAAATAAACAACCTGAGACTCCTTCCCCTGAACCACAACACATACTTTTTCAACACATAAAAAGAGAAAGTGAAAAAAAATTCAATCAGTTACCTCTTAGCAAAGGGAGATGTGCCCACAAGATGTCAATATTTTGTGAATATGAACTCCCCTGGGCTCTCAAAGTTTATTTTACTTTCTATTCTAGTAGTTTGAAAAATTGAAGAAGAAATTGTGATAGTATTTATGTCTGATTGGAGTGGCTTTCAGTGGACTGAAATATTCAAGAATAAAGTAGAATACAGTGCCTAGGTTGGAATTCGTGGTCAGCATGGGAGGAAGGCTATTGTCAAGGATGTGAGAGAGAGGAAGAATTGGGAAGAGCCGGAAATCTCAACAGTGATTCTATGGCTTCATACAGATGTGAGTTTCAGGATTTCTATAAAGAACCAGGAAGAGTGTGAGGACAGTTTGCCATAGAATAACTCAATTATTCACATTTGGATTTCTTTATGGGGCAGTCCAGCAAAAATACAGCTTTTGCAATTTGGTGCTTTTACATAAACTGCTTTACCAGATGAAGTTTCAGCATAAAGTGGAACAGAAGCTTAATTCGTTCAATGTCCAAAGACGGAAATATTTTTGTTTTGGACATTTAACTATTAATAGTTTTTAATATTTTCATTGATAAAACAACATTCTGTGAGAGGCCTTGTCTTCCTGATAACTATGAAAAATTGTAGAATTGCACAAAATAGTACACATGCACTCATGGCAACAGCATGACCAAATATTTGAATTTAGAGGGCACATGTATTCTTCCATCTTATAACTTCTAATAAAATTAAGCATAGAGTTACAGTAGAAATAGGCTTTTGCTGCTACTGTTGACACTGAAACACACGACTGGAGAAAATACAGAACTTGGGAGTCTTTTTTTTAATCTCATGTGTCTGAGCTTTGCCATTGCGAAGTTACCAGTTCCTGGGTAAGTAGGAAGGATGGAAGGTGATGACTTCTGGTTTGTCTCCTGTGTCTAAGCCAAGGATTAGTAAGCAGCTTCACCTTAGACTCAGGTTGGTGGCAAGTGAACAATGAAAACATGAATGAATATTCCCAATCAAAGCCATGATTCATAATAAATTTATTTCAGATAAGCCCCTCAGATTTATCACAGATCATTTTACTAAACTTGGAAATTTTAAATGATTAATATCCTTTTAACAATTCCTTCAATATTGTTTTATGTATATCCTTTACCAGATATAATACTTTGTCATTTGTTAATTAAATTATAACAAGGGACAAAACAATGTTTAGGATAGGACCAATTTCCCAACCTAGGGGTTATCACAGCACATTCACACTTGACCCACCCAGAAACCACATCTCAGAGGCAGCTTCTATACAGAACTGAGGGACCCTGCACTTGTACTGTCAGGGTACAGAGTGGGGCGATTTCAACAGGAAGGAAATCCTGCCGTCATACTCCTTCCCAGACTACTGTGGGTATCAATGGTCTCCATCTACTTAGGTACAAATGATCGCAAACCAGAGCATGGCTACTTGTCAGCACTCAGAGGTGAAATGCGACAGAGGAGTCGATGTCTCAAACAGTGAGAAACTCTTCCTGGCACCACTCAGTGATATTTTATTTTGACCCTTATGAAAGAACTAGAAATGCTTTAGAGAACTTGTCTGCACTTTCTTTTTTAGCTATCTCTTGGTTCCTTTATATTAATTCATCTGTTAAGACAGTGAAACCAGGGGCTGGGTTCACACACATAATTCCAGCACTTTGGGAAGCCAACATAAGAAGATCACTTGAGGCCAGGAGTTTGAGACCAGTCTGGACAATGTATAGAGACTCCATCACTACAAAATAAAATAAAAAATTAGCAAGGTCTGGTAGCTTGCAACTAGAGTCCTAGACATTTGGGAGGCTGAGTTGACAGGATTACTTGAGCCTAGGAGTTCCAGGCTGCCATGAATTATGGTTGTGCCACTGCACTTCAGTCTAGGTGACAGAGAGAGACCCCGACTCTAAAATAATTTTTTTTTAATTTAAAAATTTAAAAAAGACAATGAAATCACATGGAAGGTTAACATCTAAATTCCATACAATCACATAACAGCATACAAAAAATTTAGCCACCAACTTCTGTGGTATTGATATGCACAAAGTTCTTGAAACCTTTAGATAACACATTCTGTGGGAGTAAATTATAGCACTGTATCACTTGTATCACAGAGAGATCTGGTGTGCTTATTATGACAAACAACATCTTAAGCTTATCATTAAAAAAAAAAAATGCCCAGCCACAGAATGTAACAAGTGAGACTGAGTATTTTGGGTCAATGGGATAGAAATGTGGTATCAGGACAATTCTTGAACACATGATCTAAGAAGTACAATTCTACTTCTGAAGGTAACAAGACTGAATATCCTGCTCTTCTTCAGTCTAGTAAATAAAGCTTAACATGAGATTTTGAAAGGATGACATTTTATTCCTGTTAGAATTTCATAAAAACATAGTCAACTGAACAGCTTCTGAAAGTCAAGGACTGATTTTTATCCTTTGATTTTGAAGTAGCTTTACTTATTGTAGAACTTAACTAGGACCCTAGAACTCAGTAAGGAGGAAGAAAGAGATGCAGTAATTATTTAGAATAGGACTGCCTTTCACAGAGAAAGTCAAAGATCTGAGTATTTTTCCTTTAAATTTAATTAGTTTCTGATGGCACAAAATAAATATATGCTAAATGAATGACTACTTTAAATGGGTCCCCACAATTATTCCATTGAATATCAGTGTATGTCAACTGGTTCAACTGCAATTCCTCTCAGCTACGACCCTCAATAGAAACTACTTTTCTTATATCCCTTTTCTAGGTTCTGTCTAGCCTAATGAGAAGGGAATGACAGCTAGGCAAAGTAAAGATTTGGGATGAGCCAGACATTTTTTCTCATCTGTACGTAGACATGTACTTTGTAAACATAAGACTCAATTTCCTGTTTGGGGAGATAGTGTCAGAACCCAGGAACTATATACACATCACAGAGCCCTCAGAGGCACTGAACTCTGAGCTTGAGGCAGCACAACTCACATTTGTGCAGAGAGCTACATGCCACATGCAGTTCTCCAGCCTGTTGTGCATATTTGTGGCCTTCAGCTACTCTGGTATGGATGGTTCCAAATGTGGGTAAAAATCTTAAGGATGGAAGTATTACAAACAGGCATGTGGTATTTCTCACAGACTTGAGAAGGAAAGGGGAAAATGGAGAAAAGCGAGCATACTATGATTTTAATTTGGTTTGTCACCGGCTCCTAAATTAGCTAGTTCTTGTAATATTTTATTCACTACATCAAAGGATCAGCTCTGTTTTCTGATTTTTCCCACAGGATCCAGTGTGGCCCAGAAGGTTACTCAAGCCCAGCTACCAATATCCATGCCAGTGGGGAAAACAGTCACCCTGAACTGCCTGTATGAAACACGTGAGGAGTTTTACTGTATTTTTTGGTACAAGCAACTTCCCAGCAGAAAGATAGTTTTCCTTATTCGCCAGTGTTCTTCTCACCAGAATGCAAAAAATGATCGCTATTCTGTCAACTTCCAGAAAGCAAGGAAATCCATCGACTTCACCATTTCAGCCTTACAGCTAGAAGATTCAGCAACGTATCTCTGTGCTCTCCGGGAACTCACAGTGTTTGAAGTGGCAGTAAAAGCAAAACAAAAACCCTAGGCTCAATAAGAGAACCCCTCTACTCCCATCCTTTGCTACAGGAGCCAATTGGCAATGCACACGTGCAGATCTCAGGCAAGAGAAGGCAGCGACTGCAGTCTGTGGATTTAATCTGTGGTCTGGATCAGACGCTTTAATTCTAAGTAAAACCTCCTTTTATATCATTTGGAAACAGGTGTTCAGAGCAACTTTCTTCTAATACTTAAATTTTTGCTTAAAATATATCAGGCAGAAAATGTGTAAACTTGTCTAAAGTTGGAAAGACTTACCACATAATAACTTAAAGTGGCAGTTTCACTTAACAATGCTCACAGCAGAAATCTGGGTCTAGTTATCTGGAATCATCATAAAATCATTGCCTTAGCCCTTTCCTTTTAGGCTTTATGTCAATTAGGGTACAATCAGAGAAGCAGAACCACCATGAAAGATGTAGAATAAGATTAGTTATAAAGATTGAAACTCATGCAATTTCTGGAGCTGGAGGCTCTCAGAAATTATTGAGTTGCTCATGTTTTATGAAATTGTAACAGGAATGAAATGCAATCTTTTCAAAATCTGACACAGAGTTTTATTTGCTAGACTGAAGAGGATCAGGATATTCAGTCCTATTGCCTTCAGAAGTAGAATTGTACTTCTTAGATCATGTGTCCTAGGATTGTCCTGATATTACATTTCTATCACATTGATCCAAAGTATTCAGTCTCACTTATTACATTCTGTGGCTGGGCATGTTTTTTATTTGTAAAATAAAGTTGTGATAAGCATGCCAGCTCTGTGATACAATGCCATAATCTACTCTCACTCCTATGCAAAGCTGTTGCCTTTGCATCTAGTATTAAGCCTGAATTTACTCTAGGTCAGTTAGACTAACATTTAGGAAGGAAAGTTGAAGGTGGACAAGAGCATGCAAAAACTGTGATCTATAAGGACATTTTGGAACCTGTGGTGACAGATGGAACTCATGAGGACAAACTAAAACTTGTCTGTCTCTTATCTCCTTCAATCTCATAGTGGTGGTGATCTTCAGAAGAAGTGATGTTATTTGCTATTATGCTCTCTGGGTACTTGGCCCAAGAAAAGGAGAAGCTGAAGGAGGTGATCTGGGGGGTAGTGGAGGAGTTGTGAGTCAACAATAAGATGAGTTAGCAGATCAGTAGCAATATGTGTGAGTTGCCACAGTTCCCGAAGCCTGGCACCTGTCTTGAACAATTTTTTTTTCAATTTAATTGAGAACAATATAGGGAAGGAATTTCTTGGAAATATATTTCCAGGTAGTTACGATGAGATAGTACAAAGTTACCACAGTACCCCCACCTTATAAACTTGACATCCGTATGCGCCTCTTTAAATAACACTTAGCTTTCAAATGATGAATTTTAAAAAGCAAGCTTCCTGCCAAGATGATGTCACTATTCTTCATTCAACCACAAACACCCTAACTCTCTCCCCCAAAGAGAATACAAAGTATATTTATTCATCTTTGGGTGATATTCTTTCCTCTTCCAGCTGAGTCATACTCTCCCATTGATATCCTGTAGTTTAGCTTCTGAGACATAATGAGATATAAGATTAACTTATTAACACACCTTTCACTACTATGTATAGGCAAATAAGAGGAGAGTAAAAAATGGTTAACATGTATTTTAATGTTTTCATATCACAATGCAAAAGAAATGTTTACAACATTATAGTCTTTTTTTCCACAAATGGTCACATGATTGTAGCTGGTTTCTATAACTACCATTTCCATAACCCATTTCTTCACTTACCCATTTCATAATCTGTTTGTTTTTAGCAAGCGCCTCCACTCACTGGTACACTTGACTTTCTATAAAACAAGCTCCTTGGTCAGGAGCAATGCTATACAGAATGCCGTAAGTTGAATATGGAATTCTCTAAGTCCACCACTGTGGTTCTGCCAGAAGCATTGCAGATGTGGAAGATAAGTCCATATTCAAAGTGTCTAAGTGGAATAAAACAAAACAGAACTTGCCAACAGCCAGAGAAAGTTGATTTATCATGTTCTGGAAAATGTCTTTAAAAATAATGCCTGAATTCTCATCAAAATTAACAAAAGCCAAAGAGGAAAAAGTATTTTTAAAGTACTTATAGAACAAAACAAAACTCTCTAGCTAGCTCCCTGTGAACATGAAAGTCTAATTTTAACTTCTTTGTCAAAAATCATTGTTAAGAAGGTGGAAAGTCAGTGCACAATTGGAAAATTACATTTGCTTTGGTATATTTCTGAAAAAGATTAAAATGCAGAATATATAAAAAACTTGTACAAGTTAATAAGCAACGAAAAACCAATACAAATGGCAAAAACTTGAAGAGACACTTGTGAAATATGTTATCTAATAGTTATAAGTGTACTAAAAGCACTTAATATAATTACTCATTAGGTAAATGAAAATTAAACTCTATCGAGTGATCCACTTGTGCCCTTTCAGCACCCAAATTGTATTAATGTAGCCAGAAGGAAATGACCACAAGAGGATAATGAAAAATAGTCACTACCTCCAGGGAAAGGGATGTCTAAGTAGGTTTTCTAGAAACTTCTGTTAAGTTTAGCCTAAAGCTGCCTCCTTACTTATTTTAAGCTCAGGGCAAAGGCTTCTCCATACATAGTTCTCTGTAACCTAACAGGATACATAAACAGGCTGTAGTCTACTCTCTACCAACCCCTAAGTTTTGGCCATAGGTGTCTAACTGTTCAAATTACATTCAAATAAGGCAAGTCCCAAGCTGTAACCAATCCAGCTGTTTCTGTACCTTACTTCCTTTTCCTATAAGTCACTTTACTTTTTCTGTCCATAAATCTTCTTTGACCATGTGGCAGTGCCAGAGTCCCTCTGAATCTGTTCTGGTCCGGGGCACTGCCTGAATCTCTAATGGTTCTTTGCTCAATTAAACTTTGTAAAATTTAATGCATCTAAAGCTTTTCTTTAACACTTCCATCATCAAAGCATGTTCAATGGAAGAAGAAAAAGCAGTAATAGACACCAGACTGGGACACAGACATAAAAGCAGGTTTTACTAGGAAAAAAGAAAGTTGATATTTATTGGCCATCCTATATGTCAAGTGGCGCTATTTATACATTTCATATTATTATCTAATTTAAGCATTATACACCCTACGAGATAGATTTTAGTGTTCCAATTTTTTACATTTGGGAAATGAGACACAACTTTCCCTAACTTTGAAAAGCATCTCTAACTAAAGTCAGCCAGGTGTAACATCTTAGAGGGCTCCGAAAAAGCAAAGTTTGAACTATGGAGAAGCAACTGGCCCCAAAGCAGCATTGGCTTTCTCAGTGAGGGTGACAAGATGATGCCAAATCTAGGCACAAATTGCTTCATGATCAACAGACTGGGGAAATCACCAACTAAGCATTTGAGAGTGCTGAATGTATTAGCAAGTCTCTTTCACAGTAGTGCGCTGTGAAGCACAAAACTAGAGGGAAAGATGGGATACTATGCCTTAAACACTCCAAGCGGGCTTCCCTATCAGGACCTTTGCCCGTGGCCTTTGCCCACTCTGCCTGCAACGCTGTACCCCTACAAAACTTCATGGTGTACATCTGAACTCCTCTATGGCTTTATGCAAAAGTCACCACCTTGTGAAGCCTTTATCAAAATCTTTCATTTATATTTTCCTTCTTTGAGAATCAGGCTCTAGCATAGTCCACGTGTTGAGAACTAAAGCACCAAGTTCTGAAGCACTGCCACCTGGTGTCCCACGAAACTATTTGGTGAGGCTTACACTGGCCTCCCTGCTGCCCTCCAGTGTTTGTGGGCTAAGTTGTGGTGAAGCCTGGTTGCAACAGGAGCTAACATTTCTGAACCAATATCAGTAACCTTCCCTTGCAGTAACCATGTGAGACAGGATTCAGCAGGACTGGCTGGGATTTTTTTTTTTTTTTCGTTTTTAAAATCTTTTTCCCTGAATATGTGAAGGTGATTGATTTCAAAATGGCAAATGTAATATTTGGGATTATTTAGGCTAATAGAATACCTTGGAAACAAAGCTTGGTATTATTGCACAAAGTGGGAGCTTTTTCTCTGTTAAGCGAGAGTTCGTCTACTGCTCTGTCCCTTACTGTCATATACAAATATCATAAGAAGTAGAAGCAAGAGTCAATGATGCAGAAAAATAAGCCACTGTAGGGAACTCTGTGTAGCATACTCTATCCATGTTATATGTCTCCCAACCTCCCAATAAGCATCATAATCCAGCTGATTTCCAACTAACAGTAAGAAACATGATAGAACGTGAATATTTATTACAGTACATAAAATATGCTATGCAAATTGCAAAATATCTCTTGGAAAAATACTGAGTTTTATCTTGTAGATAGACTGCACTGCAATTTCAGATTGTGTCAACCACCTCCCCCCCAATATTTTCTATATTGAAGGCATCTGGTTGAGTGCCTGAGACACAGAAGTTATTGTACTAGATGATTTATTAGGTTGTGCAAAAGTAATTTCTGTTTTTTCCATTACTTATAAAGAATGGCATAGCTATTACATAGGCTTGGATTGGATTTCTGGACCTACCACTCATTGGTTGAATTATCTTGATCAAATTACTTAATAACTTTTATGCTTCAGCCTCCTTATCCCTACAACGTGGATATTGATAGTACTTACTACTAAGGGTTATTTTGAGAAATAAACAAGATGACAAATCCTAATGCTTAGCCCAGGACCAACAAAAAGCTACTCATTACTTACAGAAAAGGAAATTGAATATGAGAGAGGTTTAATGTCTTGCCTAGCATCACAAAGTGTCAGAGTTGAGCCTTTCCTCATCCCCTGGGTAGAGCAGATACCTTTTCTCACCCCAAGAATAACTCTCTATCTCATTACAGTTTTATATTGTCTTTATAGAGCTTATCACTATGTAGAATTATCTTATTTAAAAAAAACTCATTTATTTAGTTTCTTTTCACGGCATGCTAGCCCCTTTTCTATTTCTTCATTACCATGTTCTCCACGCCTGGAATAATGCCTAGCACACAAGAGACATAATCAATATATGTTTGTTGAATGAGTTCACGAAAGGTAAAATTATGTCCAGAGTACTTGCAATTCAAATATTAATATAAAAGTTTAAGCTGGATTAATCTTTGTGTTATTTATCCAGAATTGTCAGGATTTCTATCCTGTAAGTCTCTTCACGTAATACTTAAATAAGTAAATGCTAAATAGTTGAATATTAGCTTTGGTTTATCTCCATTGCTTTTTTTTTTACAATTTTGGTGAATTAATAAATAATCTTACTAAAAATTTTTGCTATAAATCCCTCACTTTACTCACCTCACTGGGGGGATGAGGTGGAAGAAATTTTGAGGCATTTTTCCCTGTAGTACATGCATCTTGTCTTTTATGTTGCAAAAGTTTTTCAGAGGCCTCATGTAGATGTATATATCTTTATGTTTTAAAAAATTCTGTGTATACACACAAGCACATAACACACCCACCTTGCATAAAAGTAGATATACAGGCCCACTATTTGCTCAAAACAGAGAAAGTAAATTGACCTGTTTCTCTTCATTATCAGGGTGGGTACATTTAGAATCCTCCCTTGATATATTAGGCTGTTAAGAATGATAAAGACTGATAGTACTAGTTGAGTTGTTTTGTGGCCAAAGTGAAGACGAAGGAAACTAGGATCAAGCATTCTTCCAGAAGGAGAACCTCATTGTTTACTTTTCCTGTAAGGCTGTATTTAGTTGCCAACAGGCTTGGCTTTTACTTTAGGTAAAATGTGTGGCTACACCTTGTAGGATTCTGTCCAACCGTTATAGATAAAGGAATTCTCCCTGCTGTTAGAGCTATGCCCTTCTTGGTCTGGACACTGCTCCTCTAACCTGTGGGTGACTTTTTCAGTGGATCAGAATTCTCACCAGAAATGAACTCCAAAGCATGTAGGCGTTCTGAGTGGTTGTGGCCATGCCTTCACTCTCCTGTGATGAAGTCATCTGAATGCTGTGATCTGGAAAAGAAACTACCTTGACTGGAATGGCTTGCCTAGCAGCCCATCCCTAATCCTAGTCCTCATGCTTCTGAACTGGGAGTCACTACTGAGGCTTCCAGGATTTCCTTTACTACCCATACCTGTATCTCTGTTCCTGGGAAGGAAAGCTGGAAGTTAACCATTGAGATACTTTCTAACCCTGTTCTAATTTTTTACAGCATGATTTAAATGTACGTGGAAAGTGCTGTCCCCTGGTTTTAGTACATACCCCATGCTGTTTCCTTTGCTTATTACAGTTGTTCGCTGGAAAGGTTTTAAAGGCACTTCATACACCAAATACCCAGAGGTTGAATTTATATTCTGAAAAAAATTAATTAATGCTATCTTGTACTCATAAATTTCCCTTGGATATATCTTATTTCTCCAATTACATTTTGGGCTCACAGGGAAGGGAATGTTGCTTTGTAATTTTTTTTTCTTTCTTTTCCTCTCCCATAGATGAGGCTGTAGCTTTGTAATTTTTAATTCCTCAAAGCTCCTAGGGAAACTCAAAGCACAAAAACTACTGTTTAAACAAATACATGTATAATGAATCAAACTAACATTATATCTGGACTGTGACAGAACAAGACAGTGTAATTCTTATTTACTTTTAAATAACTTTATTGGAGTACGTTTACATTGTATAAATTCATCCATTTTGAATGCATGGTTCAATGATTTTTAATTAATCACTGATTTATGAAATTATTACCATAATTTATTTGTAAATACTTTTCAAAACCCTAGAAAGATCCTTAATGCCAAATTACAGTTAATCTCTAACCCAACCCTGGCCCCAGGCAACCAGCTTATGTCTTTATAGATGTTCCTTTTCTGAACATTCCATAAATGGAATCACTCAACATGTATCTTTTGTGTCTGCCTTCTTTTTCTTAAAATAATATTTTTGAGACTCATCTGTGTTATAGCATATATTTGGTGTTTTATTTTATATATTTTATTTTTGCTTATTTATTTATGTTGCTGAATATCATTCATATCTTGTATAAACATACTGCACTTTGTTTATTCATTCATATGCTGATGGACATTTGGGTTGTTTTCATTTTTTTAGCCATTATGAAGTATATCCACAAATTAGACTTCCATTATTTTTAGAACATAGCTAATGTGTAAAACATTCATGGTGCATCACAAATGTAGGTGGTATGTCAGATTTCAAAAATTAGAGTCTAGAGCTACTAGATAGATATATATTCTAATTCTTAATATGCCATTAGCTAATTGACCTTGAGTGAATTATTTAATCTCCTTGAGTAATTACTTAATCTCCTTGAGCTTTGGGTTTTTTTTTGTTTGTTTGTAAATTGGAAACAGTACTATCTCTATTTCATGACTTTTGTATTAGAAAATGTACATAAAGAAAAACGTAGTTTAGCACTTAGATATGTACACATTTATAATTTGAGGGGGATTCAAATGTTGGTTTTTAATATTTGAAGATTCAAAGAAAAGTGCTTTTCCTACCAAAAATTACCAACCCACCTGTAACTCTTCTAAATTTGAATAACAGCAGTCAACAGTTAGGCAGTCACTTCTGAAAGGCTGTCAATTCTCTTTGTGTTCAGACTCAGAGGGATTTCCTTAATGTTTATGAAGTTGGCCTGAAGAAACAGTTACTTCAACCCCTCTTTGCGAACCACAGGAAACGGAATATAGGGCAGAGTGTTTCTAGGGCATTTATAGGAGGTGGTCTCTGATTGGCTGGGCAACCAGGAGCAGAATCCTGTTTTCTGAAGCAGAATATTTCCACAGATTTTGGCTGCAAAACATTTTTCTGCTGAGAGCACCTGAGCAGGGAACATGGAGAAGAATCCTTTGGCAGCCCCATTACTAATCCTCTGGCTTCATCTTGACTGTAAGTCTAGGGATTACAGGAGACATTCTGAGTTGTCTTGGGTGATGATGAGGAAAGAGGAGGATGCAGTCAGACACCCTGGGTTTTATTTGGGGATGTGTGAAGAAAATGCAAACTCTGTAGAGAGACCAATTTCTATGTCTCACTCTCTAACAAACAGGCGTGAGCAGCATAACGAACGTGGAACAAAGCCCTCAGTCACTGCGTGTTCAGGAGGGAGACAGCACCAATTTCACCTGCAGGTTCCCTTCCAGCAATTTTTATGCCTTACACTGGTACAGATGGGAAACTGCAAAAAGCCCCAAGAACTTGTTTGTAATGACTTTAAACGGGGATGAAAAGAAGAAAGGACGAATAAATGTCACCCTTAATACAAAGGAGGGTTACAGCTATTTGTACATCAAAGGATCCCAGCCTGAAGACTCAGCCACATACCTCTGTGCCATTACACAGTGCTATTCAGACACCTGCAGCCCATTCGCAAACCTGTGGCTGGTGTTGCACTGCTACTCGGTTTCGACAAAGAACCGTGAGTAGGATGGAAAAGATAGGTTGGAAAAGACAAATTCCTTGAATTACAGTTTTTTCAAGAGGATTATGGAAACAGAAAAATAAGCATGCTAGTAATCACAGCTAATTACCACAAAAGCTAATTAAGTAAACCTATTTTTTATGATAGATATCAGAGTGCTAATGAAGCATAACACCTTACCTGGTAACTTGGCTGTTACTAAACAATACTAACCCCAGCTCCCAACAACACAATAACTACGTCATTGACTCAGACCCATCGTCTGCTCCTTTGGCATGATTCTGAAAGAACCCAATAGTCACTCAATCCTATCTAAAACAATTGGGTAAATAAAGGTAATGTTTACCCCCTCATTGATCCTATGTCCTAAAAATGAGTTCTTCTATCATATTTTTTCCACAAGCACAAATGGAGCATGTGGCATGCCCCTTCCTCACACACCTGGCAAGGAAATATGCACGTTTAATACCAGAGCGAGTGATGTCGCCTCCTTTAATCCACTGGGGATTTTGGTTTTGCTTCAGTTCAACTTTCCCCCTACATGAACATTTGCATTTTTATTTCTTCTCACATGTGGCTATTTTCATTTTTAAATATCACTCACAATATCATAAAGGAGCCCTGATGAAGGCTCTTTGCTGTTAATATGGTCTATCCCCCCGCCTGTACTGTGATTGTGATATTGGATGACCAACTGAACTCTATTATCAAAGTCTCTTCATTTGTAATTTCCAGGCATATGAAGCAGGTTGAGTGTCTGGTGCTCTGCTCTTTCTGCAGATTTCCAAACAACCCATCAGTTTAAGGTTCCATTGGTATTCTAGAGGTCTGTAATTCCAAGCTTCCTTGGGGGTTAAGATGAAGTAACTTGCTTTTGGTCCTCCTCATCTAAAAGCTAGAGTTTCAACTTTCTCTAAACATCTACAATTAATCATTTCTTATCCAACTCCTGTCCAGTTTCCTAAATTATGCTGCTATTGCACTTTCTCTCTCTTTTGTGAATTTGTTTTTTAAATCTTATTATTGTTATCACATATTTGGAAAAAAAACTATATATTTAAAAATAATATTGGAGTGTATACACATCCCTTAGACTGGATCCATTTAGAGATATATACATAGAAATATTTTTTTCAAAATTTATTCACAAGGTAGTAATGAATCTATTTGAATATCAGATTGGGAGAGGCTAAATTTGTAATATTATCTGAACGTATACGGAATCGGGAGCATATAGCTCAGGAATAAGTGCAGAGAAGCTACAGTTCATTGTACACTAGTGTTGGTGGAGAAGAACTACACAAAAGAAGACTGATCACTCTTCCAGCTGCTGGACAAATTTCCAAACCAGCTCTCCATTATTATTGTCAAAAAGATCAGTGGAAGAATTTCTAATATTTCCAGCAATGATCTTGTAGTTTGAACTAACTCTGAATTGGCAGAATCAAAAGGCTGGATAAAAGAAAAGATGAACCTCTGGCTCATTTGCATGTGGCTGCAACACAATGCCTCAGTCTCCTTCATATCAAAGCACACATAGAAACTGATTACGTTCATGCAACACTTCAGTGTGGAATGATGCTGCTTGAAACCAGCCCATGATTCCAACTTCCTTGAGAACTCTGCCTGCCTTAGGCTGCGATGATATAGAGATCTTCCCACACACCTGATCAATTCCTGGATATACTGATATGTAATTTGGAAAATCTGTTATAAACATAAGAAAAATGTAAATCTGTAGTGCTAGGTCCTTACAAAATATCTACGTATTTATGAAAGCTGTATGTAACCAAGTAAATATGGATCAAAATTTTCAGTCTCTTTAGATTCTAAAACTGATCTTGAAATTGAAAATAATGTAGTTAAATTCTGATTATTTATAGAGACACAGATAGGCATGTTCTTGTAAATTTTGTTAGTTTAGCCATGTGGAATGAGAAGAGTGAGTCAGATATAAAAATCATGTTAAATAAGAAACACAGATTTTTGTTGATTGCAGGACCCCAACCTGAGCAATTAGCCACCTGTTCCTGTGCTGTGGCAGCACAGAGTTCTTGTTACCTCTCATCATTTCCACCAGGTCTTCTGGGCAGGTGCAGATGCACAAGGAAGGTTTTTGAAAAGTTAAAATTGTTAGCTTTGTCTTCATTTTGAGATCCCAATCCAGTATTCCTAAGAAGGAAAAAAGCATCCCAATGTTGTGCATTTCAAATTTCTTAATTCATGGGATTTGTCATTTTAAGCATATTCTAAAACTGCTTCTTGGTCTGTTTCCATTTCATGCAATAATTCAGATTTAGATTCACTTTTGACCCTACACAAAATGTTGAGATTTCTGCCATTAAGGCATTTACATGGGAACACTTCAAAGGCGTTAGATTTCTTGTAGTGGGTTGAACGCTGGCAAAAGATATGTCCATGTTCTAATTCCTAGAAACAGTGAATGTGGTGTTATTTGAAAAAGGGTCTTTGCAAATGTAATTGGAGTTAAGAATAACAAGAACAAGATCACCTGGATTATTAAGGTAGGCCCTAAATCCAATGACAATTGTTCTTTTAAGAAACACACAGATGAGGCCGAGTGCCGTGGCTCACACCTGTAATCCCAGCACTTTGGGAGGTCTAGGCAGATGGATTACCTGAAGTCAGGAGTTCAAGACCAGCCTGGTCAACATGTTGAAACCCTCTCTCTACTAAAAATACAAAAATTAGCCAGGCATGATGGTGAACACCTGTAATCCCAGCTACTCAGGAGGCTGAGGCAGGAGAATCGCTTGAACCTGGGAGGCAGAGGTTGCAGTAAGCCAAGATCAGACCACTGCACTCCAGCCTGGGTAACAGAGCAAGACTGTCTCAGAACAAAAGGAAAAAAAAAAGGAAACACACAGATGAGAAGGGCATCTAAAGACAGAGATAGAGGTTGCAGTTATGCAGCTACATCCAAGTGATGGATGCCTGAAACCACCGGAGGCTGGAAGAGATGGGGAAGGATTCTTCTCTAGAGCATTCAGAGGGAGCACAGCCCTGCTGACACATTTTCTGGCCTCTATTGCTATAAAGAAAATAAATTTTGTCAAGCCACCAAGTTTGTTTGCTACAACAACCCTAGGAAACTAGTATCTCCCAAAGGTATTTCTAAATGGCTACAACCAAACTTTTTTTTATAGATGGGCACATGGCAAACCAATACCATTCAAATATGGCATTGGTTCTAACATCTTATTTTTTGAAATATTTTTAGTTTAAATAATCACATGGTATACATACAAACACACACTTTTATTTATAATATAATGAACACTTGAGTATCCATAATTCAACAGCCATTCGAGTAGGACATATTGGTGAATAATAGACAAACAGTTACTAAGGGCTTACCACATATCAGGAGTATACTAGTGATCCATCAGCAAACAAAAGAAATGAAATTTCTTGTTTTCATAGACCCTATATTCTAGAGCAGTACTGTCACATAGAATTTTCAAAGATGATAAAAATGTTCTGCATCTGTATGGACACTAGTCACATATGGATACTCAGCACTTGAAATGTGGCTAGTGTGAATGAGAAACTAAATTTTAAATTTTATTAAATTTAAATTTAATATCCTTATTTAATTTAAATTTAATACCAAATAGGATGGTGCTTTAAGATGATACAGTGCACATCTTCAGGGTACAAAAAGGCTAACTCAGATAATTAATTGGTAGTTATACAGGTGTAGTATAAACACTGTGATAAGTGTGACTGAAGTTCTGTGGAAGTCCACAGTTTTCTAAGTTACTTTCTGTTTTTATCTTCTAACCTTTTCCACCACTTACTGTAGTTGTTTATCAGCAAGATCAGAACAGAAAGCTACTTTATCCAAGTGTTTTGTTTTCAGGAAGCCTTCCTATAGAAATTGATTATTTGTTAAACAAGACTTTTTTTTCTAATTATATTAACATCTTCCCTCGTTACTGCTGGCATGTGTAAAAGTAACATAATGGGATGGTAGATAGGATCTCTAAATTGGATAATTTACCAGGGAAATCTGGGTGACAAAAGAGAAATATGTATTTCTTTTCTTCCGTTTTGAGGTAATGGGTTGTCTAACAATAAATCACGAGTGTCTCCCACATTTATTAAAATGTCTGTGACCTAACATGTCCCATGAGAGCACTTACAAGCACAGGCTACATGGCACAACATGATTCTTAATGACAATGGAAGTGACAAAATGGGAGTTTCTCTTTTCTTCAGATGCCCTAGTTTTAAATCACAGAGTCCATTTTTAAGTGGCAAATTAAAGTCACTATCAGCAAACTCTTTCCTTTCAATCATTGACACACATACATACCACCTAAATTAGAAGGCAACTTTACTAATAAAAGAATCGGTTGTCAAGTCAGCAATGTTTGAGTCCAGCCACAGGGGAGCAGCATCAGCAAACATAGACTCTCTTCTGAAGTGGGTGGGCAAAATAGTCTGACTGGCTTTCTCACATTGCAGTCACCTCTTCTTCTTTCCAAAACGCACACATCTACTTTCCAAAATAGACCACAACTATTTCTATTGAGCTGGAAGAAGCTTGTACCAGGCAACCCATTTAGGAGCAGTTGGATGAAGAGGAAGGAGAGAGAGATGCTACTCATCACATCAGTGTTGGTCTTATGGATGCAATTGCCACGTGAGTTTGAGACGTCCCTGATTGCTTCCAGAGAATAAATCCAACAGGATAGAGAAGTATCTGCAGGCAGGGAATGGACTTTCTGTTTGAGAAACAAGAATTGAGAGAGACAGAGAGAGAGAGAGAGAGAGAGAGAGAGGGAATGAATAAAGATTGAGGGAGATGGGAAGAGAGACATGGAAAGAAAGGGGGAAAAAGGAAAAAAGGAGTGAGAGAATCGCATGTAGCTCAGAGACTAGAGATCTAATCTGATTTTATGTGATGCTTCCCACTGTCTTTCTAAACAGAGGTGAATGGACAACAGATAATGCAAATTCCTCATTTCCAGCATGTACAAGAAGGCGAGGACTTCACCATATACTGCAATTCCTCAACCACTTTAAACAATATACAGTGGTATAAGCAAAGGCCTGGGGGACATCCTGTCTTCTTGATAAGGCTAGTGAAGAGCAGAGAAGTGATGAAGCAGAAAAGACTGACATTTCAGTTTGGAGAAGCAAGAATGAACAGCTCCCTGCACATCACAGCCGCCCAGACTACAGATGTAGGAACCTACTTCTGCGCAGGGCACAGTGCTTCCCACCCACCTGCTGCCTGCCTCTAAATCTTGCCCTGGGTCTTGAAGAGCAGACCATCCTACTCTCCCTGAAGAGAAAGCCGAAGTCACAATGCCTGTGGATCTCGAGCAACTCTTTCCCATAGCATAGGGATGCATGTAGAAATTCACTCTGTAGGACCTGGAAGAGGTTAACGGTTTTATTTCCTAAAACTTAACTATCGGTTTTCTTCTAACACCAGGTGTATCAAGTAATTCTAATTGTCTAGGAAGAATCAGTGGATTTTAACAAGTTGTGGTACCAGTATTTATATAAAAAGTCTGAGTTCAGCTTACAGTGCGGTTGTCCCCAACATTTTTGGCAGCAGGGACCGGTTTTGTCGAAGACAATTCTCCACGGAGCAGGGTGTGGGGATGGTTTAGGGATGAAACTGTTCACTTCAGATCATCAGGCATTAGTTACATTCTCTTAAGGAGCGTGCAGCCTTAATCCCTAGTATGTGCAGTTCACAATAGGGTTCCAGCTCCTATGAGAATCTAATGCCGCTGCTGATCTGACAGGGGGCGGAGCTCAGGCAGTAACGCCCACCTGCCGCTCACTTCCTGCTCTGCGGCCAGGTTCCTAACAGGCCACAGAACGGTACCGGTTCCCTCCCCCACCAGGGGTTTGGGACCCCTATTTGGGTGGTACCAGAGGTTTCCAAGCAGTTTCTTTAAGGTTTTAGCTCAATTGTATTGTGAAAGATTTGAAAATTAAACATTTTTCATTATGTACACAAAATTTAAAAGAAGTTTATCACCAATTTCCTGCAGAGTCACCCCTGTAGAACTCATCTACTTCAATGCAATGCAGTCCAATATG